GGGAGGCCTAACATTGGAGATCAAGAGTAGCTCATGGTGAGAATGAAGAAGTAATTCTTGACTCTGACTCATTATTTTAGCCACTTCTGTTCAATAGTAGATAAATTTTGAGCCCAAAGAGTTAATAATATCAGGTATTCCTAGTTTTTCACAAGTCCATGCTGAATGTCCAGTAGAGGCTGAATCAGAAAGAAAAGTTCCAATAATCCAGGACTGAGCCAGGTCAAGTTATTTTAAGTTAATATCCGGCCTTCCAAAGGGGCAGGGCAAGGCACAAATAAAAGAGAGCTCAAGCCACGGGCAGTCGTGATTACATATTTCCCCAAACTAGACTCAAGTAATTTTAGTAGAGTGAAGTGGCATAGATTGGTTTTGATAACTTCAAATAGTGAAGAGGTATTTGAGTATTTTCAGGAAAACAGAAGTCAGAAGTGGTAAATAGTGATATACTGCGGGAATGATTCATTATAAAATAGTACCACTACCAATTTCTATCATTAGCATCCTGGGGAAGCTATTGAATTATTCAAGAGCTTGGTCTTAATTATCGTTTGATTTTATTTTCTCTTGGTAATCTCATTCTTATTTTTTTTGTATATGCTTATTTCGTTTTTAATAATTTTAATATTCCATGCTTAATATGGTTCATATAGCAGCTGAGCTCTTCAGAGGAAAGATTATGTCAGTCCCACAAGTAACATAACTAGTTATGAGGGTTCCTGGTTATTCTGCTTCCAGTCGTATTTTTATGTTCCGCTACTGCTCAACAAAAAGAAGCGAGGGAAGGAATTCAGAGAAAGGCAAGGGATAGCCACTTCTATAAACTGTTTAGCTGCTGATCTTCCCATTTGCTTTAACTTTGTTAAAAATTATATTCTAGGCTTTTTCATATTTTTTAAGCTAAAATTTTTCTTATATCAAAGTACTACATTTACATTGTTTAGAGAGTCAAATAATTCTTTAAGGCTAATTATGAAAAGCATCAGTCCCTGCCAATGACACTTCCCACTTCCCACATTTCCCATTACTGAGAGGCAAACACTTTAACTTATTTTTAGATTTTTTTGTTAGTGGTGTTCTATATCTGGATACCTTTAAATAGCTTGAATGTATTGCTGTTTCTTGATTTTCCAGTTTTAGATATTATATGCTGCTTTTCCACTATGGATAGTGATGATTTAGCTCTCTTTCACTCCTTTCCCTGTCCACCCCAATATACACTTCCATCCTTCCATTCTCCCATCTTCTCAATAAGGTTTTATTGTACTGTATTTAAAAATTTCATTGGCTTCATATTCATCAGTTAAATGTAGAGTTTGGTGCATTTTGACAATCTATTCTCAATCAGTATATGAAGCAATTCAATTATACCAAAACATTTCTCGTTTGCAGGGTTTCATGGTACATTTTTTTCATCCTTTTACTTTTAACCTAGTTTTACATTTAAAGTGGATTCTTGTACATAACATATAGTTATGTCTTTTTTTCCCTCTACAGATTGGTAATCTCTGATTTTTAATTGAAGTGTTTAGACAATTTTCACTTAATTTAATTATCTTGTTGAGTTTAAGTCCACCATTATGCTATTGGTTTTCTATTTGTCCATTTAATCATTATTTACTTTTCATATTTTCTGCCTTTTTTGTTATTAATTGAAATTTTTTAGTATTCCATTTTATTTCCACTGTTGGCTTATTTACTCTACCATCTTTTAATATATTTCAAGAACTCTTTATTTCTAAATATTCTTTTTTATACTATCCTGTTGTTTCATGAATACATTTCTTTTTTTTGATCTCTGTGAAGGTATTAATACATTTTTGAGGTTTTCTTCCCCCAGCACAACTTCCCCAATTTGCTTTCTTCTATTTTGTTTCTGTCTTTCCCGTCAGAGACTTTCTTCAATTGTTTGATAACATAGCCTAGGGGGATTCTGTAGTATGTGACCTTTCGGATAGTGACCAGCCAACCCAATTGAACCCTCTACTTTCGGGAATTTTTAAAATGAAACACAGCAAAAATAGTGGCAGTGGTAGAGTGAGAACAAAATTGAACAGGTGCTGAGACAAAGGGAAGCAGTGTCACAAGAACGAATCAATAGCTGATGAGTGCATTTCAGGGGATGACAAACTGGACCAGTGGAGTTGTTGATGTCTGTTGTTTTTTTCTGAATGGGAATGAATGACTTACCAGGTTCATGAGGTCAAACCGAGTGGCAACTGAAATACTTTCCTGGGTCTTCCATTTCCTTGTGCATCCTTCCAATCTATCCCGCTATCTTATTGCCTAAAGGCCCTTAACACATACACATAATAGAACATTTAATTATAATAAACAATTAATATAAAGTTTAAAATCTTCAGATTATACATTTTAGGCTAAAAGCTTCACAAGATCTCCATTCTATATGCCAGTAAGACATAAGGCATAAAGGAGTGTGTGCCCTGTGGTCAGAGCACCAAGGTCCTGGCCATAGGACCTTGGGTATAACTACTGAACTTCTCAGTCTTATTTCTTTATCTGTGAGGTAATAATCAGAGATAGATCCAAAATTCTATTTAGAAGTGGCTTGTGCTGGCAATCTGATTGGAAAGGGAGTTTACACTGAGTTTACATAATATATTCCCTCATAACAATTTTGGTTTATTGTGAGGGTTAAATAAAATGATATATTTTTAAAATTTAACATGATGCCTACCAATAAATATTCCATACATTTTGAATGATAGTATTAAATTATTATAATATTTTTATTATGAGGCATATCAATGGATGAGGTATGACAGGCAAGAACAAGAGTTTCTTGAAATGACAGATAGGTCCTGGTGTCTCTACACTGATTCTTACCAATAGGCTTAATAAACCTCTACTCTAAACCTGGAATTGAATGAGTGTCGGTCTATCTGCAATACCAAATCCTATTGCCTTAGCATTCTAGAGAACTCCTCTCCTATGTATGGTTACTGCCTGTGGTTGAAAGGCTTGCTTGGTCTTTGCTTTATTACTGTGTATGCCCTCTTACAGCTGTATTTCCAGGGAACCCTCTTTATGTTGTATACGGTGACTTGTTCCGTAGTGCTGCTGCTGCTGATTTTTAAACTTGTGTCTTGTCAGCAAAATTTAGTCTCAGCTCCTGGTCCTACGCATCCTTTTTCTTTTTCTCCCCCTATTCTCTGCATCACATCTTTATTTACTTTACAGATCTCATCATGCCCATACAATGGGGCTGAGACAATGCACGTGGAAACACAATCCTGAATTTAGATACAGCAGTAGATATTTTGTGGATTTTACAGGAAACTGTGACTGAGGGTACAGTGAAATCATATTGTTAATCAAATCTTTTTTTAATCGAGCTATAATTGACATACAATATCTTAGTTTCAGTTTTATATCATAGTGATATATTTATATATATACTGCAAAATGATCACAGTAAGTCTAGCTACCATCTGTTACCATACAAACTTATTATAATATTGACTATATTCCCTATTCTGTATACTACTCCCCATGACTTATTTTGTAATTGGATGTTTGTACCTTTTAATTCTCTTCGCCTATTACATCTGCCTTCCAAAATGCTCCCTGTTCTATGTCTTATTCATGCTCATTTAAAACTTCCCATTAATTCTTATGTAAGTTGAGAATTAGTTTTAAAAAGCCATTGTAGCTGAGGCTTGAAGAATTAAATGCTCTTTGTGATAGAATTAGAGCATCCATTTGCCTGCTCCAGCTGTTGAAGATAGCTCAACAGCCCCATGCTCCACACATGTGAAACCTAAATTTGTTCCAAGTCAGTCTCCTTCCTTTCCACCCTTACCCTCACTTCTACTTATTTACTTCACACTTTCTCTTTGCTAGTTTGATGTTCTTGCTTTAGTTCAGATTTTCTGAATCAGTTTTAGCCTGGTTTGCCCCTTCATCTCTATGAAACTCTTCAATGGCACTCCTTTGTATAAAGGTGTCCACAGCCCTGCCTTGTGGAC